CAATTTTTTGTCATTCACAAATCTACGAATCTCCGAATATGAAAGATTTAAAATTATCCGCACGACTATTTCGTTTTGGTTTTGAACCCGTCAATAACAAGATGAATGTCTACTGATTCGTCAATAACAAGGTGAATGGTATAGTTAACTATGAAATATAATTATCGAACTGGATATAGTCAACTATTTTTTTACTACCATACATGATTGAATAGATAACTATTCTTATATAACCAGTGAACTGTTTTAGTTAACTATATTTAAGTGTTATTTAATAATTATCTTGATAAAAGATATACAATTATAAAAATTATATAGTTAAGTATATTATTACAATTGAATTAGTTATTGTAAATATTATATAGTTCACTATATTATTAATTGAATAGCTAACTACAACAACATAAAAAATAAGAATATAGTCAACTATACAAAATATGAATATTAGCTAACTATAACAACAACAAAAGTAGAAATATAGTCAAATTGGCATCTATATTAGCTATTGGTCATATATTTAATTATCTAACATCACATAAAATGAAATAGACTAACTAACATTCTAATTATGAGAGATTTCAATTATACACTTAATATAGCTATGGTAAGTTCTTTCATATCTCTTTCTCATCATTATTTCATTTATTACATTCATTTTCCTAATCAATTTGTTTCTCTTTAATTTTCAAAAAACATATTAAAAATTAATTAAAAAAATTACACTATTAGGAGAAAAAAAATAACCAATATCAGAAACATTTAGACTTTTTATTTCTATCTATTATATATTTATATATGTAATTAACTATGTACCCAAATACACTTATCTTTATATGTAGTTAATTATTAAATATAGTTAGTTATATATATATGTATAGTTAACTATATATCCAAGTATAGTTCTCGATATAAATAATTATTTTCACAAATAATCAGCTATAAGAATTACATTCATAAATAGTTCACTATTATCTATATAATTAAAAATATAAACAGCTACGTTTAAATATAGTTGGTTACATATCCATATGTAGTTGGCTATATATAAATAAATAGTTATCTATATAGTTAATTTTATTCACAGAAAATCAGTTATACTTGTTATATTCACAAATAATTCACTATTATTTATATAATTAAATAATTCACTATATCAAATATGTCGTTAATAATATTACAAAAAATCATAATTTTTTTAATTAAATAGTGAAATAGTTCACTATCTATGTCTATAATATTTAATTTGCAATATAGTTCACTATATAGTTTATCTATTTAAATAATAATCAATTATTATTAAACTTAAAAAACATGTTTTTTTGAAAAAACGTAAAATACAGAAAAATAATTTCATATATGTCAACTTAAAGTTTATATATAGAAAATAATGATATTTCTCTTTTTATTATAAAACAAATTTGCATTAAATATGCATTAAATGTAATAATTTTCATTGAATGTTATAAAGGGTAAAAAAGTCTCATTTTATTTTTCTTTGTTAGTTATCAAATTTATAATCTGCACCTGTTACTTAACTAATTCATATGCTCAAACATGTTATTTCACTAGTTAACCCTTATAAATATTGGTATTTCTAAAATTAGAAGAAATATTTTTGAAGAAAAAAACATTATAAAAGAATATTTTGGAAATTTTTCTTATGTTCGTGTGTTTCTGGTATCGTGAAGAGAAAGTGAAAGAGGATTTAAAAGTGAGGTAAATTCTAGTAGGGCAAGTATAGTCTTCGTCGAGTAGATCTTCTCAATAATGTTGTAGGGACTTGGTAGGGTTTACTTGATATCTGTCGGTAGTAACGCGTCATTATCATTTTATCCCAAAAAGAAAAAAAAAAGTGTCATTATAATCTTCTAGTGTCCATGTAAATTATTGACGCTTATGATCGTTTTCGAGCTGTGCTCAAATGTGTCAATTATAAACGTGTGTCTGTAAAACTCAGGCCCGGGTGGCATAGAAATGCTTAGGCATAGAACCTATGGTCTCACAATTTTAGTTAAATTTTTTTTTGCAAAAAAACTCAATTTTTGTAAATTTTGTCAAAAAAATCTTAAATATTTATACACTTTACAAAGAGTTCTTAAAACTTTTTTTTAGCATAAAATCTTTTAAACATTGGACCGGACCTAATAAAACTCATAAAACATTACAGAAAATCTCACCAAAAATTAGATACAAACTAAATAAAGAATACAGACAAATCCATACGTATACATGATATGATCAAGGATATGTCGACTCCGGACTACCGAATACATTTTTTTCTTTTCTTTACATAAATCGTAGAAGTTTTAAATTTTTGTTCATAGTTTTTATTATACTCTGAATGACCTTTTAGATATTCCAAATTAAAAAAATAATCTTTTGTATCAAAGAGAATTTGAATTCGGATAAAAAACAAACTAACTCTTTTGGTGAGATTTTCTATACTGTTTTATGAGTTTTACTAGGTCAGCTCAATGTTTAAAGAGCTTTATGTTAAAAAACAATTTTAAGACTTTTTTTGTAAAATTTATAAATATTTAAGATTTTTTTGACAAAATTTATAAAAATTGAATCTTAAAAAAAAAAAAATTTAACTAAAATTATGAGACCATAGGTTCTATGCCTAAGCATTTCTATGCCACCCTATAGAACCAGGCCTGAGTATTACATACACACGTTTATAATTGACACGTATGAGCACAGCTCGAAAACGATCATAAAAGTGTCAATAATTTACATGGACACGAAGATTATAATGACACTTTTTTTTTGTTTGGGATAAAATGATAATGACACGTTATTAAACATAATATTTTTGAAAGTAGATAACAAGTGGTTGTAATATAAGCGCATGGATGTGTACTACACAACCGCCATTACTTCTCCAACGCCGCAAGCCTTCTTGCTCTAGCTCCCCTTCTTCTTCATGCCCTAACTTAAGACAACTCCAGGTGA